ATCAGTGATGTTCAATTTTGGGAGCTCTTGTAGGCAGCGAGTGTAGAACGTCGCCATGGTTTAACCACACCGGAAGCACTGGGGCTGGACTACATAGAACGCGGAAGTGATTGTGCAAGTAGTCCATTCTTGTTCGGGCTAACGTTCTCCTAACTTGATAGTGCAATAAAACAAATAAAATAAGTGTGCTATTCGGAGTTCGAATGAAATTTTAAAAGCAGATGGGACAATATTCAGATGTGCAGTAACGTCGAATATGCAAATGAATGTTTCCAATGCTAGCAAAATGCTACAACCTACAGAACACATACTGCCCACATATTTACCGGAAAAATATACGCCATATATTATCACAAAGTACTAGTTAAATTATATTCTATTAAAAATAGGAAGAAATTACCTTAACTCCAACGGATGAATCATGATTAATCCCTCTTTCCAGACACGTACCCAAAGCACACTGTAGCGTAGATGAAGAAGGTCAATGCGTATGCGCAAAGATTTCTTTTTCATTCTCTGCGCATGCTCAGAAAGGATGTGGAAAGGGCTTTTTGGATTTAGTTAAATGTGTTAAATAAATTGGAAATATCAATATTATTTAACATTAAAACGGTATAGGATTAATTAAATCAAATTTAAATATATTACACCCATAAGATTAACAATTTTAAGTATATTGAACATAAAACTAAGAATTAATTTTTAAAAAGCCCATGTTTCATTTCTTAGAGTGCAGGTGAAATTAGAGCAACAGGACTGCTGAGTCTTTGATTTTATTTATTTTCTGCTGTGTTTCACTTGCATTCATTTGAAAGACTGAGTGTGAACACAAAAAATATTTTTATTTTATGTGCTGGAATGTGCAGAAAATAGGTTTAAATGTTAAACAAATTTCTTCCAGTCAGGGAATGTTGCATATAATAAAATTTTTGCTTGATGCATAAAGTTAAAAGATTAAAACTAGTAAAACAAGTTTTAAAAAGAGACTTTTCCATTTGATTACTTTTTGTATGATGGATTATGCAGAAAAAGTAGAATTGGGCTGAAAGATCTATTGCTTTATTACCTATTCAGGTTGTAAATCATGTTTTTAAAAAGTAACTAACTAAGTAATTAATTACTTTTGAAAATAAGTAATCAATAAAGTAACTGGATTACTTTTTGGCCTCCTAGGCCTTAAATACTGCCTGGGGTAATCAGCTGGGATAAGCAACAGGTGAGTAAGGCGTAGGGTTTGAATCCAGGATGACACAGATATCTGTGACTGGAGTCCCAAAGCCTTAGTTATGGCTTTGTAACCCTTTCCAGACTGATCGATGTCAGTGATTTTGGTTCTCAGCTGTTTTTTGAATCGTTGCATGCTGTGTTGCCATTTGAGATCTCTTAGCCTGCGTCCGTTTGTTATACAGATCCTATTTATGTGATTTCTTGATTCAACAGTTCTGGCTGTAATCAGACTTTGGTGTGGCAATGAAACTGAACTCAGCTATGTAAAATTATTTCCTAGTATTTAAGATTCAAATGTTTGTTTCTTCACTGGTTGTCTTTTACCTGCTTCCACATGTTTTTAATTGATTTCTTAGATTTCTTAGATTTACATGAAAGATTTTGCATTTGCTCATTTACATTATCAGTATAAAATTTGCATTATGAGGCAAACAGCAGCTGGTGACGTGCAGTGTCATACACAGAAAGCAAAGCTATAAATAGTAGCTGCCCTCTGAGTATTCCTAACTTGCTCACCTGTTGCCATGTGCATCCAGGATTTCGGTCACCTGACTTCCCTAGCTGTTACAGATCGGACTTGCGTACATGTTGCTGATGCCTCAGCCTGAACTGGCTACACTTTTGTTGATTGGTCTTACTCATTTTTTTGTAGAGATCACCTCTGGATTATTTCCATGAAGCCTTCCATCAATTGCTGGTATGTTTTTATTTTGTGTTGTGTATTTATTATTTTACTTGGTAGTAAACAAGTGAGTTTATAGGTTATAGCTGCAGAAGCCTCCTATTGGCCTCTTTGTTAACAAATTGATGATGCTGTTTGAACTGTACATAACTTTGATTTGTTACAATCTTAGCCTTACTGCTGTTACGGCCCTATCTGGGCCTCCTGAAACTGCCCTTGGTGGGTGTGGTGTCTTTTCTCTGCCTCCTCCTCTCTCTGCCCCTGCCTTCTCTTTTAGGACACACCTGCTGCTCATCTGGCCTTGTTTACCACCAATTACCCTCAGAGGTAATATAAGCTGGAGAAGAGCAGTGTGGATGTGGAGAGGCTTCTGGTGGATTTCATCTGTGCTGGTCAGTGTGTGAGTCTGGTCAGTGTGTGAGTCTGGTCAGTGTGTGAGTCTTGTCAGTGTGTGAGTCTGGTCAGTGTGTGAGTCTGGTCAGTGTGTGAGTCTGGTCTAGGTGGGGAAAAGGCCTGCTGTGTGTGTGACAAGCCTCACCATGCGTGGCTCTTTGTGAGTAGCTCTTAACTGAGCAGTGGTTTTGCTTAAGTGACGGCGGCCTCCATTATTTTGTTTGGCCTGCCTGGTTATTGCTAAGAGCAGTGTTGCTGTCTTTTTCTGTTGAAGCCTTATAGTTGTTTTCTTTGTTGAAGTGGTCACCATCTCTTTGGGTTGGCATGTCTGATTTATCATTAAAGCAGCGTTGCTGTCTCTTTTTGTTGTTACTGTTTGTATGAATATTGAGTTAATTGATTATAATAAAGATATATTTTGTGTTAACTACTAGGGGTGCAACAATACACAAAATTCACGGTTCGGTTCGATACTTTGGTGTCACGGTTCGATATTTTTTCGATACAAAAAAAACGTTCATGCCTTTTTAATTTGTCATTTATTAAAATTATAAATATATATTTTAACTCAAAAGTACAGTTTTTAAATTTAATGTTGCTGAAACAACAAAGTAATAAAAAAAATAAATCTATTTGATCGAGAAATCACTCATCTTTGGAAAAGAGAGTTTATTACAGAAAAATGGCTCTTTCCAAAATAAAATACTATATACTATACTATATACTATACTATACTATACGCTTCTTCTGGGCTATATTCTCAGCAGCATATTAAACATATCAGGTCCCCATAAGGAGAATCATGTGCTAACGGCTGTCTAAGGGTAAAGTTTGTAGCATGCGTGCTTGTTGTTTTTGTCTGCTTCCACTTGTCTGTGCACTAGGATGATGTCGGAGTAAATGTGCAGTCATATTCGTTGTGTTCCCACTAGTGCTGTCAGCGTTAATCT